TATTACGATCCGGGGTTCAAGGTGGACCCCAAAAGGATTTCGACAATTTGCCCTAGGATAATGAGTCGGGGGCGCATCATGAAGCGAGCCTATTCGGGGCGAGACCCAAGCGAAGCGAAACGCTTGGGACGCCCTAAAGTCGTGTCCGAGACCGGCAGGAAAGTATCCGAATGGGATCCCACCGTGAGGGAGGCACCGAGCCACCGAGGCCCAACGAGCGGCCTCGGCACCCACTAGAGAAAAATCTCTGGTACTCTTGGAGTGTGTCTCTGGACCGCTAGCCGTCCCCTAGCGAGCGGGGTCGGGCCTCCCTCGGACTACCCGATAACGAGCTCACCGGAAGTGCCACCGCTCGTGCCCATCGAGGGTAGCGAGGCACGTTCCACCCCTCGCTTCCGAAGCGAAAAGGAAGCGCGAGGTCATATAAAAGTCGGGGAACCCCGACGGCCTTCTCGCCCTATGCGAGAGGCTAGGGGGCTCCTCCTACAAATATGCCGAGACCCCACGACCCGGGCTCGTGCCCAAAGGGGCCTCGGCAAACAAACCCTCACGCGCGAGGGGCATATAAAAAGTCAGGGGAACTCCCGACGGCCCTCTCGCTCTGCGCAGAGGCTAGGGGCTCTTCCTGCGACCTTGCCGAGACCAGAATGGGCTCGGCAAACAAACCCTCACGCGCGAGGGGCGTATAAAAAGTTAGGAGAACTCCCGACGACCCTCTCGCTCTGCGCAGAGGCTAGGGGCTCTTCCTGCAACATTGCCGAGACCAGAATGGGCTCGGCAAACGAACCCTCCATCCAAACGAAAAGGATATGCGAGGGGCAAATGAAAAAGTCAGGAGACCCCCGACCGTCCTCTTGCTCCAGGCGGAGGCTCGGGGGCTCCTCTTGCACCCAAAAACCAAGACAAAAACATGATAAAGGGCACCGAGCCCGTTACGGTCCAGGGGTTCGAAGGCTGGGCCTCCAAGAGGTTTCGACAGCCGCCCCAGGGCAACAGAGTCAGGGACGACTTCGGGGGGAGCCTACGAATGGCCCAGGCCCGAACGAGCAGTCGCTCGGGGCGTCCTAAGTCGTGTCCGAGACCGACAGGAAAGTATCCGAATGGGATCCCACCGTAGGGAGGCACCGAGCCACCGAGGCCCAGCGAACGGCCTCGGCACCCACTAGAGAAATCCTCCGGTACTTTTGGAGTGCGTCTCTAGACCGCTAGCCGTCCCCTAGCGAACGGGGCTCGGGCCTCCACTCGGACTACCCGATAACAGCTCATCGAAAGTGTCCACGCTCGTGCCCATCGAGGGTAGCATGGCACATTCCACCCCTCCTTCCGAGCGAAAGGAAGCGTGAGGGACATACCCAACGTCAGGGGGACCCCTGACGAACCTCTCGCTCCATGCGGAGGCTAGAGGGCCTCTTTTTGCAACCTCGCCGAGACCCCCGCAACCCGAACTTGCGCTTATGGGCTCGGCAAATGCAATAAGAACTGATCACTCAAACGCGAAAGTGGAGAAAGCCCCTGGAGGGGTAACTTCACTCCTCCAGGAGCTCGGGGGCTACACTCGGTGGGTGCGCTCGCGCGTACCCACCGGAACCTCAGAAACCAAACCAATTCCTACGGAGCAGGCATAAACCCAGCCTCGACGAACCCTCAGGGAGAGTGCACGCACTCACCCCGAGGCTCGGGGGCTACTGTCGGGTACCTTAGAATAGGGTACCCCAAGCAAACATCAAAATAAAGCTAGAAGGTAAGCCGTGGGCCCCTCACCTGCCACGACCGAGCCCTCCTCCACCTCGCCTCGAGCCTCGAGCCTCGAGCAGGGGGTCTCAGAACAAACTCCGCCTCGCGCGAGGCTCCCTAGGGTAGGTCTCGGTAGGGGACGCCGAGCCTCGGCAGGGGGCGCCGTCTCCGTCTCGCCCGAGGCTATCCAGGGAAGGCCTCGGCAGGGGTACATTCTCCGTATCGCGCGAGGCGTCTCGCGCGAGGCCTCGGCAAGGAACCTGATCTCCGCCTCGCGCGAGGCCTCATTCTTCGTGTCGCTCGAGGCCGGCTCGTCCGCGGTCCGTCGCCCCCCACCTCGGCCGACCCTCCCAACAACTCGTCATGTCTCATTAATGCTTCAACCACTCCCGCAATCTTAGCCGGACGGTGGTTCAACGCCACAGCATGGCCGACGCGACCCAAGGTCGCATCAGCACCATACCGCCGGAACAGCAGTGCAGTGACGGGATTACGGCCTTTGTGTCCTACCACTGTGTCCACGATCAGCACCATACCGGCTGGGACAGGGTACGACGGGGATTACCGACCACTGTGTCCAAACGCTGTACCCATGATTGGCCGCCCGCTCAAGGCCTCCGCATACACCGGGGCCTCGGCGATCTTGGGGTTCGTGCCTGCCGAGACCCCCCCACCGCAGTGCCAGCCTCGGCATCGACCAAGTCTCGGCCTCGCGCACAGTCCGTCCACGGTGGCTTGGATGGTCGCCGCGCGACCACTCCGAGGCATTCGGGGCTCCCACGGCCTGAGGATCGATGGGATGACCACGCTTGAGTACTCAAGGATGGACCACTCCGACAGCCACACCGCCACGAGGAGCAGGCTACAGGGGCCGGACACGCCGCCTCTGTTCACACGACGCCCGTATAGTCAGCTCATGTCTGCCCTAGTCCTCCCTTCATGCTATAAAAGGAGAGGACCTGGGTTGTTTTAGGGGGGAGGGGGAACACCTTGTAACACACACGCACACTCCTGCCGCCGGAGAGCAACGTCTCAAGCGGCCCGCACGACACCCTGCCGAGACCTAGGACTAGCTCCTTCTCTCCTTTAGCTTGTAACCCCCTACTACGAGCACCTCGGTGCAAGGAATACAAGATCGATCTCTCAGACTGGAAGTAGGGCCTCGATTGCCTGAACCAGTATAAACCTTGTGTCTCTTTGCATCACCATCCGGATCGGGAGCACGCAGAGCAAATTCACTAGTTGGTTGAGGACCCCCTGGTCCGAAACACCGATAGTTCTATTAATAACTAGTGCCTTTTTTCATCTTTTTTTTCCTACACTAATCTTGCTCTAATTTGTTATTAGAAAGTTAATAATTAAATGTTTCGTGCTAAAGGCCTCACGTAACACTAGGGGTGTTACGTTTATGTATAATTTTGTAACATGCCAGAGAGGAAAAATGCGGGAATGGTTTTTTCTCTAGGAAAGAAAATTGTGCTGATAAGTTATGTTTCGCAAAATATTATATATAAAAGTTATGTGCATAACTTTTCAACTTTCTAAGAAAATATGATGATAAATTTTGCAGAAAAAATTATAAAAATTATGAGTATAACTTTGTAGCTTTTCAGAAAAGAAAAGTTACGAAAATATTTTTTTCCAAAAAAAGGACAGTTACTAGGCTGGTGGGATCACTGACTAACGACTGTCTAGGAAAAGAGGTGGGAATTTTTTTTTAAAAAAAAAGGAAACTCGTGGAAAGTGTTAGATTGATCACTAATATAGAATTGAAACGTTCGCTAATTAGTGGTGGGGTCGATAACTCGTGGACACAACAAGTCTGTTCGCTCGCTCGTATATGATCGTGGATTATAAGTTGGAACAATATTTTTCTCTCACACCAAACCAATCAGCAGTAAATAATCCACGATCGTTTAGTGTCTGCCGAACATGCTGAACAACGAATCAAAAGAATAAAAAAGGAAAAGGAGGCCCCGTGAAGCCGTCACACGCGCTGACCGCTAATCAAGATTTTGCAGCGCTGCTGACGACAACTTGCTTCACGCGTGGCCCTATAGGAGGTGAGCCCATCCTGTGCCGAAGGGCCGAATCGTTCGTTCCGAGCTAACGAACGTTAAGGGCATGCTTGCCAGGGACTCGGATTGACCACATTTGGATTCAGAACTTTATAGATCACAAAAAAATTTCAACACTCCGGATCCTCTAAATTCGGATTCACCAAAATGGTGGATCTAAGGGTTGGATTCACCATTTTTAGTGAATCTCCTTAGGGAATGCTCCACCAAACTGAGTTGGATTTGGGAGAAATTACACACCGTTGCCATTGGTTGCACACCTCTCCCTCCTGTACCGGTTCATTTTCTATTCTATTCTTGTCCTCCTCGCGTACGAACAGACTCTGTCGCCCATCTTTCTCCCGTCGCGGCCAACAGGAGGCCACTGCTCGACGGCGAGCTCCCCAACTCCGGCGCTGGCGAGCTCCCCCTCTACCTCTCCCACTCCCTTCTGGCCCTTGGCTGCCGGCGCGCGCCCCCCTGACCGCCGGAGCGGCTCGCCTGCCCAGCCCCTAGATTCGGCCCGCGTGGAGCGCCTCGCCCGCGCCTGGCCGCCGGAGCGCCTCGCCCGCGCCGGCTGGGTTGGTCGCGTTCCGCCCCCTGCCGGCCCTGCTCCAGCCGGCCGCGCGCCGTGGCCAACCGGCCTTGCTCCGGCCTCGCGCTCACCGGACGGAAGAAGAAGAACTTCTTCTTTTTTAGTGACACATGGGGCCGGGCGTCAATGAGACGGAGAGAAGTCCTACGGCCCAAGGGCAAATCTAGCAATTCCAACGAAAATGCCCCTACGTAGATATGGATCTTCTGCATTAGCCAAACAGTTAGTTAGTTAGTAGATCCTACGGTGAATCTCATATCTAAATTCACTTTTTCCGTGGTGAATCCCCTAAATTTGAACTAGGCTTACTCCTCACCGTATGAATTTAACCTAGCTTAATTAATTATAATACGAGGCTTTTAGTCGTGAAGCCTCGCCGGGCTCGCCTTGGGACTTCACGCGCCCGCCACCTGTTGCGCTCGCTGGCTCACTACTACTACTCGGTGCCGCAACCCAGAGCCCTTCGGACCCCACCGCCAACGGTACAATCGCAAAAGCCTTCGGACCCCACCGCCAGCCTCGGGTCCCTCTCTCTAAACCCCAAATCCCCTTCCCTCTCTCTCCCAATCAAAAAAAAAACAACCCCTCCTCGGTGCCGGAGACGACCGCCGCCGATGGAGCGGACCGCGCGCCTCGTGCGACTCGCGCTCGCGGGTCTACCAGATCCACGGGTTCGAGGAGCGGCCGACGTCGCCGCTGCTGTGGCAAGATCGGGCGGCGGTTCTGGCCACGAGCTCGCCCACGCCGCGGGAGGATCGCGCGAGCTCGCCCACGCCGTGGTAAGGAAGGAGAAGAGAGGCGGCAGAGCAAGTCAAGTTGGCGGCGAGGACTACTCAAAGGGAGGTCAAGGAGAGCGCGAGGCGAAGCAGTACCGTCCGGTAGATGATGCAAAGGGCGGCCAAGCGGAGGCTGTCGGATCCAAGGCGAAGGACGTTGCGGACGCGGCCTCCCCCTCGCGGCCTCTCTTCTCACGCAAGGCCCCGACCCTCATCCCGCTACCTCACCTGCCTCAGGCTCATCTTCTTCTGCCTCAGTGAGTGGATTATTGGACAAGACCAAACTAGGTCCCTTCTTCCAGCTTTACTCAATTTTCCCATTCCCAATCGGGCACTAAGAAATCCGCTGAAACAAATTGAAAAAAAGCAAAGGTACTGTGGAGTACTACTTCCACCGCACCATTCTCCTTGTAGCAGTTCTTCTTCTTCGACATCTTCTCTCTTTTCTGTACCCCTACAAGCATTTGGCGGCAAATCAGAACCTGTACGACGATCGACGATAGCTAAAATTACAGAACCAGCTCACGGACTCAGGAGGCTCTTACTCGGCGACCGACTTGGTCCTACGGTACCTGCTCAGAGGAAGGCGACGGCATTTGTATATGGGAACGAGGCAGACAGCGGCGCTTGACAGACGGTGCCAGGCAGCAGCGTCGAACGGCGCTGCAGAGGGGATCGGACATGCACAGGAAGTGCGAGCCGACCGTAGAGAAACCGGCGAGGCTGAGGGAGACGGCGGCACCGGCACGGCTCGGAGATGAGAGGAGGCTAGACCTGGACGAGCCGGCGGGAGACGGCGGTGCCGGAGTGGCTTTCTCGATTTGGCTGGCCCTCTTCGGCCGCAACGGAACGAGCACGGCCGCACGGGGACGGGATCAGGATCGAGATCGAACATTGGGCACGTGCTCACACTTGCTTTTCGTGGATTTTTTTTTTCGAAATAAGAGGTAATTTTTGGGGGGCAAAATTTGCCAGGGGACGTTGAAAAAACGTGGCTTTTGCCACTGACCACCGAAAAAGAATGGCTTTGCCACCAACCATTATAAAAGTATGGTGATTTGGTGTTGTACATTATAACTCTTATAATATAATTTCTGATTCAAACAGGTAAGTAAACATAATATCTGGACAGAAATACCCCTGCCTTTAATTGAAGGTTCCAGCAACATAACATGTCATATTTCATCACCATAACATGCACACTACAGCACTATTTTAGTAGATCCGTGAACATGACAGGTTCAAAAGAATGTAGCAGGTCTAGCCCACAAAATAACATATTCTAGCAACATTTCAGCCTTTCAAGTACAACAAAATATAGGCTGAATAACAGGTTTCAACCAACTAATACAGTGCATAGCCTATGCTTTTTTAGACCTAACAACTTGCAGGTTCTTTGCCTTTCCCTTTTCAACACTAAATGGAGATGTGATTGGACATCCAACAGGCTCTACGGTGTCTTCAAGTTCCAGCAACCTTTTAGACTATAGTTGAGTATAGAAACATGTTAGCTAAATAGAAACAGCAACAGAAACACATAATAAAAATCTACAAGAGTTATACCATCTTGTCATAGGACTTGGGGTAGAAACAGAGGTGGTGAGTCTAGTTGGTGTAGATGATTCTAGTTCCAGCCTCCTTGTCATACTACATGCAAATACAATCATATGATATTGCATTATTACAGATTTGACAAGGGGACAAATATCTCAAATGTGCAAATTGGAATTGTACCTTCTTGTAATAGGGCTTGATGTATGAGAACAAGTGATGGGTCTTGTGAGTGTAGCACTGTAAGTTGTTTAAATATATAAGATATGTGTAAGTTAAGTAAAAATTGAAAATTCATAAAGAAGTTCAAAAAGTTTACAATGGGTCAACACATGATGGTAGTTCCTGTGGTGGCTCAGCAGCACTAGATGGCACTACTGTGACACTTTTCTTTGCCTCTCTTTCTCTTTGGCTTTGGAGCAGCAGGTGGTGGTGCATCAGAATCATAGACATATTCATTGCATGTTTTTGCCATGTGTCTAAGTTGTTTACACCTTTTGCATCTTGTGGTCCTCTTTCCAGATCCACTTTCTGCAGCTGATTTAAGCCTCCTCTTCCTTAGTCTCCCAGCTGTTGGTCTCAGAATTGGAGGCCACAACTTAAATCAAAGGTTCACTTGAGGCCACTGTTTCCTATCTGCCATTGGCTTCACATATTTTTGATATGCCTTTTTAAACTTTGCAATAGAGTAGTATTCATGAACATAGCCTTCAATATTACAACCTCGAATTGAGGTGATAACACACAAGGCATGTGTACATGGCAGACCAATAACTTGCCAACGTCTACAGGTGCACTTCCTCTCTTGAAGATCAACAGTATGCCTCCAATGAACTAAATCCCTTGTAAAACCTTTGACTTCACCTAACATTTCATTATCTCTGCCACCATCTTTGTATGCATACCTCCACATATATTTTAACCCCCTGCTTCTTGCATTGAGGTCCTTCATGACGTTAGGCAAAATCTTATCTTTAAGCTTTTTGGCAATTTTTCTTCTCAAGAACATTTTGTCCATACATAATTGCCTTTATCCTATCCATAAGATCAACCAGAGGCAGTGATTTCTCATCCCTAATCCAGTTGTTGAATGTTTCAGCTATGTTATTTGTTACATAGTCACACTTGCTTGCTTCAGAAAATAGGTGCCTTGTCCATAGGTGCTTATGGTTTTCATGTATCCACTTCATAGCTTCAGGACATGCTTCATACATCAAATTGTAGTGCTCTTCAAACATGTGCTTTTGAAAAGCTCTACATGCTGGCCACAAGTGCTTCTCGAAGGCCTCACCTCTGAACCATTTTTGGAAGTTTGCAACTAAGTGTCTCATGCACTCCCTATGCTCAACTCCATTTTTGAAGACTTGAGTAACAACAGAATCAATTCCTTTGCCTGCATCTGTTGAGATCACTAGGCCTGGAGGTGATCCAATTGCTTGATGAAGTCTCCTAAAAAACAAGATCAATTTTCAGTTGTCTCTGATCCAAACACACCGTAGCACACGGGAAACATCCAATTCTGCCCATCAATAGAAGTAGCAGATGCAAGTTGTCCCTTCCATTTCCCAGTCAAATGAGTAGAGTCTACACCAAGGAAAGGCCTACAACCATTTAGAAAACCATCTACACAGGATTTCAGGGCAACAAACATTCTTGTAAATCTTATCTTCTTTCCCACTTGCTCATACTCAATATCAACCAAACTCCCTGGATTGGTCTTCTTCACCTCGGCCTTGAAACTAAAAGCATGCTCAAAGCTGTCATCCCACTTCCCTTTGAGTTGTTCCAAAGCCATATTCCTACCATCCCACACTAGATAATATGACAACTTCAAGTGATACTGTTTTTCTAGTCTTTTCTTTGGTTCTTTAGCTCCAATTGTGGGATCCTTTGCAAGCCAACTAAGAACCCTATCCTTGACCCAATGATTGGTTTCCATGCAGTTATGCTCAACTTTTCCAGTGCTTTGACAAGTATGCACATGAGGTATCTTTTTTATCTACACCAAATGAAAAAATTGAAGTTGTATAAATCTGAAATTGTACAAAATTGTATACAAACAATAATGCAAGTTGCAAAATCATACCTTCTAGGTCATCCAATCCTGCAACTGTGAAGCATGTATCCTCCACTTGCACAGTTCAGCTTTGCAGTAGCCTCTGTATCTTGTTGACTCAGAATAGATAGCTGCAATTTCATATTCACCCTTTATTGCATATTGCCTAATAGCCTTCTTAAAAGTATCACCATCCCGTGCATCCTCCACTACTAAGTCATCCTACAAGCCAACACACAAGGCTCTACTAGGGATGATGCAATTTCAAGAGTAGGCTGCGCAATTAACTGGTTGGCAGGAGCATCAGTGCTACCCTGTAACACACAAGTTCTGTTGTCGCCCAATATCAAGCTCCAAACAAAAATCATCCTTTATGAAAGTCCATCTAACCCTTTAGTGGGTTTTGGATGATTGAATGACAACGTGATTAAAGGTCTAACCCATTTGCTAAGTGTGGACAGGTAATAGGTAATCTCACAGGTACTTAATGAAGCCAAAATGATGTGTTGTTGTATAAACAATCTAGTTCAAGCACAAGACAACAATGCAAATGGAATTCATGCAAAGGCTTATTTATTGTGGGATTTCCATGAACTATGTGAAAGCAAGCACGGTAAAAAATAATTAATGAGACATGAGGGATTACATATGGAATGGTCTCATATTTGAAGCTTGCTAAATTAAAATGAAAAAGATAACAATACAAATGAATGGATAATTCAACACAAGATGTGACTTGATGGCTTGAGATGGTGAAGATAGCAAGGAAAGGCTTCGAGGTACTAAGCAAGTGTGAAGGGCAAGCGACGGCTTGGCGGCCGAAGAACCTAGCTAGGTTGAAGAAGGAAGTACTTGCATTTAGTTGAGGTACTAATCAAGCTATGATGGTCATATTGATGTGGAGGATCAAATCTATATTGGATAAAGTGTTGGAAGTGACTCGATGCATTTGGAGTTATTCATATTTGATGAATGGAATCAAGTCACGTGCTCAAGATGACTAGGCTCAAGTGAAAAAGATCAAAGTTGACATGTTGGCACCCTTACTTGATGAAGATTAAAAGAGATGGCATCAATTCAAAAGAGATCAACTCAAGCGGTATAAATTCGTTTTTCCTTTGATCTTGAGTTTAATAGGTATGTCGTACTATTAAGAGGGATGCATCATATTGATAGATAATCATTCATAAGTGTTCATGCCAACCCATGTGAGTTTTGAGTGTTTGAGAGACAAAAGACCTAACTAGTTTTTTGGTGGTCTAGGATACCGGACATGTCCGGTATGTGCCTAGTCATGGTAAATTTTTTTATGTTCTCGGGTTAGTTCGTCGGGAGTTCCGACGTCTCGCGCTTAACTGACTTGGATAAGTTCACTGTCTTGATCATACCGGACGTATCTAGTATTCATACCGGATGTGTCTGGTATGGACGGCCAGAGCCCAACGACTAGTTTTCAAATGAGCTGAGGGTCAGAAGTTCTAACGTGAGTTGGGAGTTTCGACGGTCGGGAGTTCCGGCATGCGTCGGAAGTTCCGACACCTCACATACTTTAACTCAGTGATAGCCCAACGGCTAGTTTTCAAAAGAGCTGAGGGTCGGGAGTTCCAGCATTCGTCGGGAGTTCCGACGCCTCACAACTATACTTTACTCAGTT